GGCTGACGGGTTCTGTAACCAATTAGTTAGCTGTCTCACATTATTTGAAAGGTTGGATATAATTTAGTTTGATTGCTCATTTCTTAAAAACCTCGCATGCTAGGATCTCCACTGGCCCGATCCTTCTGCCACATACTAAAGAATTCTTAAAGTCAGGTATTAGATACAAATTTCCACATCCATATATGAAATTTTCATCAACTTCAAGGAAATACATTTTCCATCAACTTTTAGGAATGGATTGTGCAGATAGAAAGTTAAATAAATAAAACACTTACTCAGGATTGCTTAGACTGTCTTTGTGCTACCTTGACCCCTCTACCCTCTCTACCATCATCTGAATCATACTTTTACTTGGTCATAAGCTCATCTGTTTGAAGGGATGCCCAGCGTCATACAAAACAAAATCCAAAATAGATGGACTCTACCACTAGTTTGTAGTGTTAGCAAAAGGAAGTGGAGGAAATGTTACAAACAAAACTGAGCAGAAAGAGTTGGAGAAAAATACAGAAAAGTGTTTTCATTAGAACATCTTTGCTCTTCCTAATGTACATCGAACACATTTATATATAATTATGTATAATTAATCATGTGCCATGCCGCTGGCTACCTACTGAACAGTCAGTGGTTTCCCCCTTCTTCACTGCTAAGAAAAGCCTGATGGTTTTTCAGGTATTGGGTGATCCAGCAATTTAAGAGACAAAAGACTCATCTTCATTTGTCTATGCTAATGGTGCTAAGTAATTCCATTCATCTTGCCAACAGTCATTTTTGGAACAGACCTATGATAGATAAAGAACTGTGAAGGGAGATCTGCTTAGGGCTTTTATAGGGTAGGGAGCCTTCTCCCCACCCCCCCTAAAAAAGGGCATTCCCTATTCCCACCTCCAGGTGCTTCAAAGTACCACCACCATCTTGTACAAGGTAAAGTCAGTTTAAGAAGAGCAACATATTGAGAATGGACGGCAGGGCGGAAGGATGTGATGAATTCAATTCCTGACAACCTCTTTAAGCCAATAAATTATCTAACACAGAAATGATGTTGTTTCTAGGCTACATCTTAAGTGAGGAAATGATTCCCTTTAGGATTTAAGCCACTTTAAGTATGGTTTTCCTGTTCTCCATTCCTATGGAGAAATGGCTGTCCAGTCAGATACTACATTTTCCACGTTCCTGTTTCTTGCAGTAAAGGAATATTCAAAGTGATTCAGTGTCAAGGACAGTGGCATTTAGGGCACATATCATTGAAACAACTTACAGTCATTCCCTATGCCTAATCAAAATGTAAACAATTTATGCTTTTAAAGGAAGGTGTGAAGTTCCTGAAGTATTTTCACTAACATAAGAGGACAAAGTGACATGTTATTTGGAGATCTGGCTAGGAAAAATATTTTCTCTTTTGCTCATGGGAAGATGCAGCCTTTTACTCCTCTATGTTTTGTAGCCCTACCAGATAACTTCTCTCTTTCTCCATCCCTAGAAAGTATTTAACAACACTCTCTAGATCAGCTACAGGCAAAGTCTACCTTGGTGTTACTTTAGGATATCAATATGATTTAGACATAATTTTTTTTTCTTTCAAAGAAAACAGGATTTTGAAATTGCCTTTCCTTGGTGGAGTCCTAAATCCTGAATAAGGCCTGACAGATGGTATGATGGAATTCACAAATATTTTTCTGATTAATAAAAATGTGATTCCAAAGCTGAACTTTAAATTCTGGTGGAGTCTAAGTAGTATGTACAAATACAACTCAAAGCACGGCTTATAAAGACCAACATCATGGTACATCTATCTGTGAGTTCAGAGATTGCCAAATTAATGATTTTTTTTCCTCCTGATTTATGAGAGTTACTCTGGGACCTATGTTTCTGTGTAAAACAAATGAAGCATTTATTAATAATGTAAGCAGCTCTAGGGCCCCTTTACCATGGCAGTGAAACTCTTGTTTAAATCCAGAACTGTTTCCTTTACACTTTAATGGATTAGATTTGTTTAACTTATTTTATATAGTGCTCAATGCAGTTCCATTGGCATATGATGGATGTTTAATGAATATTTGATGATGGTGACTATGATTGTACATTAATATATGTTAGTGTCTACAGAAAAATGATAAAACATTCTAAGCTATATTACTCTAGCAAACATATATATATAATGTATATACTATGTGTATATATACAGAAATTATATAATAACAAAAGAGAAGTCATGCCTTTTCATATTCATACATTAGTTCTAAGAAAACTGGAAATAAAAGTAAAGGTTTAGGAATTAATATTTATTATCTAATACATACTAACAATTTATATAACATTTCTACATAGTATTTTACTCAATCCTAACTACAACCCTATGGAATGAGTATTGGAGTTCCGACTTCCTGAACCTAAGATGCCATCAGTGTGTGATGAACCAATATTTTATGTATCAATAGGAAAAACTCCGCCAATGAAATTATGATATATCATTTGTAAGACATACCGATTGTGAAGAAGGCAAAATGGAAAAATAACATGCATCTCAAAAATTACAATAAAATATGATACTGATCATAAAATTCCCTCAAGTCATAGAGCCAATTAATAGCTGTGGCCAAGACAAGCCAGCTGTCCACCAAAGATTCAGTTTCCCTCCCATAGTACAGCATTCCTATGGAGAAATGGCTGTCCAGTCAGATACTACATTTTCCACTTTCCTGAGTTCTGACCAAAAGAATGTGGCACAATTGATGTTGTCACCTCCAGGCCAAAGTGGTGAAGAAGCACAATTACTTTCTCCATCCTTTCTCTTAAACTATTATTTACTTTAAAGCTGAGGATGATCTACCTATAGAAGATGGCAATATGGCAAAGCTTCTGTATCAGCCTGAGTCACTGAATGCAAAGGACAGAGCCCTACCCTTTTCCCTAAACCCATCGTGCCAAACAGGAATGTCACATCTGACTTGACATGAGCAATAAGTAAACTTTTATTGTGTCAAGCCACTGCAATCAGGGTTAGTTTGTTATATCAATTGGAATTACTCCAAATAATTGGAATGGTAGAAATAGAATTTGAATGTCAAGTTCCAATGCATGTGATACCATGCAAATACAACCTCTAAACTTACCCCTTCCCAAACAAAACAGGTATGATGGCTTCATTAAATTTTAAGATTTCATCAGTTGGTTTGAAGCATGGGCAGAAATGATGCATTTCAGAAAGTCCAGAGAGGGACAATTAAATTTGTGTATATGTAATAGCGTAGACATGAGAACAAAGGAACAGGGGGAAAAAAAAACAAAACAAAAACAAAGAATGAGTGAGTTGTTTCCAAAGTGGGAAACAATGACACGTGTATGCTCTCTCCTTTTTGTCCTGTTTCAGTTTAATATAGTTTGGGTTCAGGTAAAGAAGATCTAGGCATTTTTTTTTTTATAACCCTAGCCTACTAAATGGTTTACTATCTCCAGATAAAAATACTTAGAAGAGCTTGAAGAAATGGAAAAGGATGAAGCAGCAGCTTGACTGGCAATGAATGAAAAGGCAGGAAGGGAAGTGACAAAATGGGAGAGGTGACTAGCACGGGTTCTCGATTCAAGACAAGACTGTGAACCATGGCTTCATGACTCCTCATGCTAGAGTCAGTGACCTTGGGCAATCATGTGACCTTAAGGGTCACCCCTGTTGTCTATAATGGTACAACAGAATGCACCTCCCAGGTTACTATGAAAATGAAATAAGACAAAGCATGCACGAGGCACATACCATCCATGAAGAGCACAGTGAAGGCTAGTTACCACACTTAACTACATTTGCTGTCATTATTATTTTTTTTTAATTTTTTTTATTTATTTATGATATTCAGAGAGAGAGAGAGAGAGAGGCAGAGACATAGGCAGAGGGAGAAGCAGGCTCCATGCACCAGGAGCCCGACGTGGGATTCGATCCCGGGTCTCCAGGATCGCGCCCTGGGACAAAGGCAGGCGCCAAACCGCTGCGCCACCCAGGGATCCCAGCTGTCATTATTAATCATTAGTTTCCTTTCCCACTTTGTAGCAAATAGGCATGTATGCTTTTTTTAAAAAAAAGATTTTATATATTTGTTCATGAGAGACACAGAGAGAGAGAGAGAGAGAGAGAGGCAGAGACATAGGCAGAGGGAGAAGCAGGCTCCCCGCGAGGATCCTGATGTGGGACTCGATTCCAGAACCCCAGGATCACAACCTGAGCCTAAGGCTCAGGGCTCCGGCTCCACCACTGCACCACCCGGGTGCCTCGCCAAGTATACTTTTAATGTAAATATCACATTTTGGTGAGATAGATTAATATAGTATATTAATAGATATACTAAATTTAGGAAATCAATATGATTTAGATATACTTTTTTTTTTCCTTTCAAAGAAAACAGGATTTTGAAATTGCCTTTCCTTAGTGGAGTCCTAAATCCTGAAAAAGGCCTGACAGACGGTATGATGGAATTCACAAATATTTTTCTATTTCTCACAAATATTTTAGCGCCTGGGTGGCTCAGTGGTGGAGCATCTGCCTTTGGCTCAAGTCACGATCCTGGAGCCCTGGGATGGAGTCCCACATCAGGCTCCTCACGGTGAGCCTGCTTCTCCCTCTGCCTACGTCTGTCTCTGCCTCTCTCTCTCTCTCTCTCTCTCTCTGTCTGTGTCTTTCATGAATAAATAAAATCTTAAAAAATAATAATAATAACATAAATCTCTTCTACAAATAGAAAGTGCAATTCCTTGGAAGAAAGTCTGTCTTCAGCTGTGAAACCAACTGAGGTTAAGAGCCCAAGGAAGTTTCTGCTTCAAATTACAAAAGAAAAAATTGTTAACATGGCTTGAGGGAATGATGAGCAGAGAAAATATGAACGTATGTTTGGTACATGATATTTCAAACACCAGTTTCACTTTATTGCTTACATTAAAAAAGACCATTTAAAAAACATTTTTTTCACTTCACAATATCGTAAGAAATAAAAACGAGAATAGCAAAAACTTACCCTTTGTTTTTCATTTGAACCCTTTTTATTGGTTTCTTTTCTACTTTCATCTTCATATACTAGAACAAAGTCGATTCTTCGCTGACCGTCATTAAAAAAGAGGGAGTCATGTTTTCCATTAAATTCTTCCTGTGTGGAAAAACAAATTTTAATCCAATTGTTAAAGTGTCAATTTATAAGTGTTTATTTTCTAGTTTTAATAGGTACATCAGTGTGTTTAGAGAGAAAGAAAAATCCATTCTTAGTCACTTAACCGAGAGGTCACGGTCACCATGATCTTTGCAAGCAGAGCATGTTCTTGGTGAAAGGAGTCCTTGAATTGAGCAGTTTAGGATTATGCTACAAACACATGGGAAAATATCAGTATTTTCTACATAAACACAATCATCCCAGAATTATTCCCTCCTCCAACAGCAAAGGAGGTTCACTTTGTAAATAAACACGGTAACCAGAGGTGCCTATCTGAAGGAGTGAAGTTTAGTTTCTTCATTTACGAAGAAGAAAAATCTAAGACAAAGCACCATTTATGAAATCTCACCCTTCCTAAGTCATAATTTCTAACCTTTTTACCATTTTTCATGATTTCTCTCCGGACCTTCCCAGTTTACAGAAGGTACCACTTTACAACATTAAACAAAATCAGATGATGCTTTGATAAACACAAAAGCTACAACGGCTGTTGTTATTTGTTCCCAAATCCACAAAAGATATCCCTTCACTCCTAGCAAATAAAACAAATAAACAAATGACCCCAGCAACAATAATAAATGTGAGCTTTTAGTGTAGAGCTTAAAAAAATGAAGAAACAATGGCTGGACACAGACCTAATAGAGTTTAAAACAGTCTTTATTACCATGTGGATTTGAAAAGAATTATTTTAATTCACTGTAAGCAAAGACTTGGGTTTCTGTTGCTCACACAGCTTGTCCAGATGCTTACGTGAATTTTGTTGCTGTTTAAGGATTAGACTATTTTTTAAGTGATAAGCAACATTTTTAAATCTTTAACTTCTGTTTTCACTGAAAGCGCATGTGGAGATTGCATTTTGTAGTCATTTGACAGAACCACTTAATCACTAAATGCAATTAATTCTTCTTTCCATTTAGCATCAATTTAATACAAAAATCACCTAATTTTATTACTACCCCGTCTTCCTTTTCTTCACACTTTTGAGAAGGTGTATCTTTTACTGAACCTGATACTCGTCATTCCTTTCTTTTCCACCATGGAGCAGGTGGAGGTCTCTGGCCAGCAGTCCAAACACCCCCATTTAGCAGGTTACTTCGCCTGTGGAGCGCATGCTGCTGGTGTAACCTAACTTAACACACCTCTATCCCAGTCACACTTAACCAGGGATTCTAACCACAAACATTGTGCCCTTGCCTTGAGCTTCCCGAGCCAGAGCACAGAGGGGCCAGGACAACAGACACATCCGTGTCTTGGGCTGGTGCTTCTACTCAGTTCTTTTACTTACAATTTCAGCTATTTAATATCCATAAACTTTTAAAAGTGTTTAAGGCTGTACAAAAACGCTAAAGCCCCATCTTTTCCATTTCAGTCACAAAGTCCTTTAGGCTTCTTTCTCTTCCTTTCAATGAAGATCTTACACAATTGGTGACAACTGGGGCAGCTGCGAGAGGAAAATTTTGTGTAGAGGGGGAAAAGAATGAATAATTTCTTCAGAATGGCAAAGGGGAGGTGCAGTGGGGTGGAATAATAGTCACAAAAACCTGGTCACCATTACAGATGTCTGAAAAGCCACTTTTTTTTTTCTGTAGCCTTTGGTGGCATCCAGCAGGACTCACTGAAGTGAAGGTTTAAAGAACGAAGCCTGGAATGAGAACCCCACCTGCACATGGCTCCAGACACTCTCCCTCCCACTGCCCTTGCTCAGCCACATAGGCTGGCAGTCAGCTCTCGGATAATCTGGTCTGCGTGCACCTCTCTCATGTGTGACTGAAGACCATGGCCCTTTGTTTGGAGGAGAGCCTCACGGACTTGGCATCAGCTGTCTGTGTGAAATAACTGGGTCAAATTCCGAGATGGAATTACTGGAATGCAATGCTGGGGAAAAGGATGCCAGATTTTTACTGCTATGAAATCTAGGTTTTCCATCTCTTGGCATCTCTTGGCCAATTGCCTCCTACTAGGCAATTGGGAAGAAGGGAGAAACTCAAGGTGGGGCTGGGAAAAATAGGTAACAGACAAGAAATCTGGCCCAAATTTAAAAAGACTGATTTATGAACAAAACTGTGTTTTTTTTAAAAGCTAGATTTTTCACTTGATAAATCTACTACAGGCCTAACTCATCCAATAGGACATTTCAACTCACCTATTAGAGAACTGGGATGCGTGGGTGGCTCAGTGGTTGAGGATTTGCCTTTGGCTCAGGTCGTGATCCCTGGGTCCTAGGATTGAGTCCCACATCGGGCTGCCCACAGAGAGCCTGCTTCTCCCTCTGCTATGTCTCTGATTCTCTGTGTTTCTTATAAATAACTAAATAAAATCTTTAAAAAAAAAAAAGAAAGAAAGAATAGAGAACTAAAAAGTAATTCCTCCCCTAAAGTTTTGCTTTATATAGTAAAATTTTAATAATCTCTCAGGATAAATACTGACAAACTTCTTTAAATGGTGATGAATTATTCAAGTCCTGACCTCTCTGCATTACTTGTACCTACTCAAAACCTGATCTTTACTCTTTTAAAAAAAAAAAAATTTTTATTTATTTATTCATGAGAGATACAGAGAGAGAGGGAGACAGAGACAGAGAGAGGCAGAGACACAGGCAGAGGAGAAGCAGGCTTCATGCAGGGAGCCCAATGTGGGACTCGATCCCAGGACCCCAGGATCACGCCCTGAGCCAAAGGCACACACTCAATCGCTGAGCCATCCAGGCATCCCTGATTTTCACTTTTTGACCAAGTCAGATGGCACCAAGATGAGACACAAAAACCTGAAACTGGACATTTTTCCAAAGAGGACATCCAGATGGCCAAGAGACACATGAAATGATGCTCAACAGCATTCATCACCAGGGAAATACAAAACAAAACTACAATGAGATATCACCTCATACCAGACGTAGTGGCTAAAATCAACAACACGGGAAACAGTAGGTGTTGGTGAGGTTGCGGAGAAAGGGGAGCCCTCTTACACTGTTGGTGGGAATGCAAACTGGTGCAGCCATTGTGGAAAACAGTATGGAGCTTCCTCAAAAAGTTAAAAATAGAGCTACCCTAGAATCCAGCAATTGCACTACTAGGTATTACTCAAAGGATACAAAAATACCCAATGATCTCACCAGTCCCGATGATACTAGATTCCACCAATCGAGCATTCATTTACTCATTGGTGGCCACCTGACCTGATGTGTACTTTAAGTTAAAGGCTGCAGTGGTTAAAAAAACACTCATGTTCATTTGTCATTATTTCAAAACTATGCTGCCAACCACCGTGCAATAGTGGCCTGACCACTTCTGTCTTTGGCTGCTGCCTCTGACATTTCACACTTGAGATGCAAAGGAGACATGCTAGTCTGAGCAGTAAGAACTTCGCTGAGGAGAAAAAAAGAGAGAATAAGAAGGGAGGTCAGGTGTGATTCATGCAAGTGATGTTTTCCAGGCCTCCCTCCTCTAAGCTGGCTTCTTTCCTTCTTTTATTTGTGGGGTGGCTCCTTCAATAAAAGAGCCCTAGAGGGCAGGAATCTCTTTAACCAAATCAGGATAAAAAATGCAAGCAGCAAAATACTGTGCCCAGTACTTGTAAGCTGGAGTTGTGAATTTAAGAACTTGAAAAATTTTTGCTACTGGTAAGAAGTATGCGTGGGTACCAGTCCTGTCCCTGGATCTGGTTGAGATCTCTGCACTATAGGACAAGGGACTGAGAAAGAATGTTCTAGTAGACAAAAAAACAAATTCAAAGATGAGGATTTTTCAGTAATTACTTTGTAGGAAAATTTCTCATAAGCAATCTTTGGCTGCAATAAGGCATTCAACTTCTTGACTAGGATGCTTCAGGTATATGAATGGATAACATGATGGTGAGGTCTGTCTTCTAGGTGGAGGAGGAAAGGCTGGGGTAAGAGAGGACCTGGGAAACCACTGTCTGAGTGTCATTGACCTGTGGCATTTAGGTTGGTTCTAGGTGAGCAGCCCATCTTACTAAGCACCCTCCTGGAATTCCTCGTATCAGCACTTGGCAAGCCCATGAAATAACTTGCTGCTTAGCATTTGTCCAATCTCAGACTTCTCAAGTGTCCACAAATCAGGTCCTCAAATAACCTTGCAAAAACAAGACTGAAAGTCTCATTCTACAATAGGGGCATCTATTCCTAGAGCTTAAAATGCTGAATTTATTTGTCCAAGATCTACATAAAAAGCAGTCCAATTGGGATTTTTGCTCAAACTCTTATTAATGTGTAAGAGTGTTTGAAACTTGCCTTGGACAGCAAGTGATAACTGATTTTATCTCCAGAACTTTCAAATAGTCACCATTGACTATGATACTGGAGAGTAGTCCAAGCTTATTTGGGTAATAGCCTTGACCTTATATGAAGCAGGATGCAAGAAAGGTTTAATGTCTAACAATAATAGTTGAAGAATTACATTATGAAAAAGAAATGATATCAAGACACTCACAATTAGAGTAACTGACATGTGAACGTAGAAAAAAACACGAGACTCTCCTCAGTATTTAAGACCAGTAAAACAAAGCAAATTAACTCCAAGGAGGACACAACAGAAGAAAAGCAAACTTTATCATAGCAGAAAACTAAAGTGAAAATGTTGGATCTTCTATTTTTCAGCAAACCCCGAATCCACGCACATAGCAAGTTCTAGGGAAACCAAAGTTTGAAAGGAAAGCCTTTATGTAAATATTTAGATCTCACAAGATATGGGACACAATGAAACTTTATTTACATACCCTACAGTTATGAGATATACTCTGAAGTGTTTTCCCCAACTCAGGGAGATTCAAAGCATAAGGAATAGTGGAACTTTCCTTGCTTTACACAACTACAGAGAGAAGAGATGAGACCAGAACAAATTCTTTCCTTTTATCAGGTCTCCTCCCCAGCCTGTAAAAACAAGGGATAGTGAGAAAATGCAAAGTAGAAAAATGCCAACCAC